TTTATTGAAACTTTGTGATTTTTTTTTTTAATCCATGATCGAATTTTTTTTGTAATCCATGATAGAATTTTTTAAAAATTTGTGATTTTTTTTTTAATCTATGATTGATTTTTTTTAAATTTGTTATTATTATTTTTTAATCCATATTATTCAAAAAGAAAATGAGAGAGATGATGATTCTGAGGCCACCCTATCCCAGCCATATTATTCACATATCGAGTCCCAACAGCAACAGTGTAGGGATGAGCACGACAGTGCAGGTGAGCATGAAGGACAATCTTCGGGAATTTTAGATTGGGAATACAACAAAACACTAACACTCAGGGATTTGGGAATAGTCAGACGCCTGCTATTATCGATGATTCGTTTTTAGATCGAATCAATGAATTGTTAAACAAATTCAATCAATGGCACCAACGTGACCAAGAAGAACAATAACGTCGTCTATCATTTTATTTTTAGATCATATGTTACTAATTTTATGCTTAATTGTAGTCCATGTTTGTTGATATACTTATTCCATGATAATTCTATATTTATCCTTTTGTGTGATGTAAATTAAATGCTGAATGGCGGTTCATGCAGGGAAAGAACATATCAATATTCGCATATTCATTCAAAAACATGAAAATTCTTAATGGAGTACCCTCATTTCTTATTGAATTCCTAAAAAACAATATTTATAATGAATTTTAATAATTTTTTCGGATTTTTTTTAAGCTTTATTCTGACCGATTCACTCGATTCCCGATCCGGATCGCCGATACACTGATCCGGATCGGTTTTTTGGAAGCTCGATCTTGGTCACCGATCCAGTTTTTAAACCATTGGTTAAAACTGAAGTTTGAATAGTTAAAAAAAAAAATTGTGGGAAAAAATGCTTCAGTCCTTGTAATCATGACACAAATATGTTCGAGGGTCGTAACCCTTCCATCAATAGCTTGGTTGGTGATTAGGTCGTGAGCATTGAGGGTCATCACCATTCCATCAACAGAGTTGATGTTGATAAAGAGAATGAGCCATGAGCATGTCATTCAATTTTATGGCCCAGTTTCCCACCCTCGTCGTCCATCCCATTGATTACATGATAAGGTTGTCGATGGGTTGGGCTGCCTCATTGCCCTCTGTCGTCAACAGATATATTTTGGAGGATCTTGGCTGGACAGGTCTGGCCAGGTCAGAAAACTTTGGCCTGATTTATAATTTGGTCGAGCCCAGCCAAGGGGCCCTAGTAGTATGCTACAATGGATCCAGCCCAGCCAGGTCTCTCATAATAAATTGGGTTAGGTAGGAGCTGAGCAAACCTTGCGCAATTATACTTCATGTCAGATCGGGTGATCATTCTACATAATCGGGTGCAGCCTGGTTTGAACCTGGTCTGGCCCGAACGAGGCCCATGCACCCCCCTTATTTCTCAGTTAAGGACACTCATAACCATCCTGTTACCATGATCAGATTGAAGTTTAGTTTCCACTGTGACTCTGCTATTATCTTCATCTCATGGGCAACGAATATGTTGTGTACTGATTTCCATTTGTGAAAGGAATCAAGCCCGGCTTGATTGGTCATAGTCTTGACTTCCGTACATGTTTGAGTTTGAATGTTACCAGTGAATTACCCAAAAAGGATTTCCATTGTTTCCTTACTCCTGTTAATGTTGTGAATTAATCCACAACATTGTATTTGTTTTGCAGTTCCCCAAGGGTGACGTCCCCGAATGGGTTTGCAATGCTATGGAAGTGGCTGGCATAGACATCTCAGCTTGTTGTGCTCCATTCTCATCTGGCCAAGAATAGTGGGAGTTTTTGCTTTCGAAGAATCCAATCTAACTGAGCTTCGTGGTGCACGCCCTCCCCACATAAAAAAGGATGCAGCATATGTTTGCCTTCGATATACTGTTACCAAGGAGTAGGAGACCGTTATACGCACACTCGCAGGAGATCGTCCAACTTGGAACCAAAACAGTGACTTCCTTTTATTTTTCAATTTCTTTGCCCCCTTAAATTCATTGTTGCAATATATCCATTGGTCTAAAAAAAATCTCATGAAAATTGTGAGATTTTTAAAACAAGCATATGTTCTTTGGGGTAATGATAATTTTCTTCTTTTCTGTTTGGAGCTTTAGAATATGAGTTTATCTTAAATTTGAGTTTAAACTCTAGTATATATCTTAAGCGGTTGTTTGAATAACAATTAATTTTATCTAGAGCTAGAATTTTTATTTTTATTTTTAAAATTATTTATTTTTTCATATTCATCATCTCCATGGTAGAGATACAAGTCCTTAAAAATTAAGTCTTAAAATCCATCTCAAAAATAAATTTATTAAGAAGCCTGCATTTCTACGCATGGGGATTGGCCACATAGAAACTGGGTCCTGTAAATATAATATAAAATTTATTATAATATAATATATAATATAATGATACTTATATATTATAATATATAATATATAATAGAAGGAAAAATTTTACACCTCAAAAATCCATCATAAAAGGTTGTTTGGATGTTGAAAAACCCTCTAATTGATCATCTCGATATCGAAATGCATGAATATGACAAGAAAAAAAGATTTTGAGTCCGCAAAATAGTATCTTACAACACAATATTTATGCCATCCATTTTGAAGACTTTCATGTGTTTGTAGATTTACTAGATTTGAAATATTTTAAGAGTTTAATATTTTACAATTAGAGATGAAAATAGATTCTCAAGTTATCCTAAGAATTTTTAAGGTTGCAACCTTATGCAAACCACACCCATAATATAATGATGCTTACATAATAGGTTGGGCTTGGTTTGGTGGGTCAAAGTTATGCGGAAAGTTCGTTTAGTTAGCTTACGTGTGTTGCACATAAGAATGAAATAATTGATTTTGTAAATAGTATAAAGCACATCCCTTGGAGAGAGTCAATATATATTTATAAATGTGCACGGTATTTAAGTTTTAGAGTAAGTTGTAAAATTTTAAAAAAAATAATAATAATTGAGGTGATGTAGCAAAAATATGGCTAAATTAAGCAGAACCAAAAAGAACAAGATATAAAAAATACAATATACACATTTCAACAACATGAAATCGTCAAACTTCATCAATCTCAATAAGTACCATCCATCGAATTAAATATCAACAAATATAAAAATAAATTTTGAATTCGTGAAGATCATAAATTCAAAATATTAGTTTTGTGAATGATGCCAAAAACTCACCTATGCAATATAACAGCATACTAGACAAAGAAACACAATTCAATACCTCTAATGAAAGTCATTCAACATTGGATATAATGCATCTAACAACCAAAAAAAAAAAGTTGGACTTAGGAGGTGGGTGATAATGGAGCACAACAAATGATGCATTTACAATAGGATATCTTTGCCTTTTCAAGGCAAGATAAGATAAAGTAGTATGAGTTCGTTATCGTTTCGTTTTCTTCACCCAAGGTAACATAAGAGAAAGATGGGTATGACTTTTACCAAAAAAAAAGGATTTGAGAGAAATTCGAGGGATCGAGAGAGAGATTTGTGGCTTATAGGTAAAAACCAGTGGTTGAAAAATCGGCCTAGTTACTTGGGCTCCACCACTTGTTGAGCCCTAGTTGTCCAGAGTTGGCTGTCCAATTTGGGGACACTAAAAAAATCAAAAAGAAAAATAAAAGTTCTTAAAAAATGAGAAATTTATTTGGGATATTTTTTTTATGCCTACTGCTATTTTGGCAATGGAAAATGGTTTGGACATAAATACTTATTTTTATATTTTCCTATCTTTTTTAATTATTTCAAAAATACCCCCAATCAAAAGTTGATTTTTTTAAATCTATATTTTTATTATTTTTTAACAGTATTTGTACATTTATTTATTGTTTGGATTTTTTTTTTTATCATTTTTTAATCTTTGTTTTGCTGCTATAATAGTTGACACTAATCGGGCCGAGTTACTCAAACTTGCCTCGAAGAATCTCTTCGGACCATGACCGATTACTTGGTCTAAGGTTCACTGTCAAACCTTACGAAGTGCTAGTGTTGTTAATACGCCATGCATATGGCAATAATAAATATTTAAATGAAATTATGAAATCTAATTATCAATGCACACACCAAGTGCTAGTGTTAAAACTCAAATAATGGTGAACAATATATATATAAGAGAAATGAAACTAAATGATCTACATAAGACCTCAATCATGTTTATGAAGCATAGACTTCATCAAGTAATATAGATGGTACGAAGTTGAATGAAAAAAAAAAAAAGGAAAAAATATACCTCTTTAGATTTAAGAGAAAATAATTTAAAGTTAGAAAACAATAGACATTGAATCCAAAAAACAAAAGAAAGAAGGACATGCTACTCTCGCAAGTGTTGGATTATATAACTTAACATAAAATCTCTAAAATATAACATGTTTATGTATCACGTT